CGATGGTGCAGCGGTAGAAGTTCACCAACACAGGTACTGGCATCCCCCATCGCTTGAGACACCTCAGGAAATAGAGGCGCTGCTGAGCCTTCTTCACAGTCCAGGCTAGATCTCTAGAAATGTGAATTCCCAAAAACCTAAAGCTGGTGACTGTTTCCACTTCCGTTCCATCAATACTGAGTGGGCTGGGAGTGTGTGGCCTGTGTCTCCGAAAGTCCACTCTTAGCTCTTTTGTCACATGCTTTTAAAAAGCTGACTACATTTCATTTAGAACAGAACACGAAGGAAGCAGAGCACAACCAGACTCGCGTTTGATTAAGAATTCAATTTGAGGCTACTTTTACGCTAACATCTAGTGCAAGGTTTCCGCGCAGCGTGCGTTCGTGAAGTTGGAAATTATTTAAGCCCGTTATCCTGTACAGGGTCACGGGGAAGCCGGAGCCTGTCCTAGCAAGCAACGGGCAAAAGTCCATCGCAGTATAACAAATCACACTACACTACAATTGCATATATCAGCATACAAAGGAATTCAAAATGGTCTGTATTAGTTTCTAGAAAAGCAACATAGAAATGTGTCTATATTTACTCGACTTCATATATGTGGAAAAAATTCCATTTTTCTAATTGACATTGATAAATCTCTGTTCGTGCTGCTTGTTATCTTAGAGTGTGGAGCGCTCTCAGCCAGAGCGCCCTCGGAGAGCATGCTGGGAGTTGTAGTCCGTGTCCGACCTGGCTCTGCGCAAGGCGACGCGGAGCGTACAGAGTTTAAAAAAACAAACAAAAATAAACCCGGAATTGCTGGTTCCCGAAATTTCGGGAGCACGCAGCTGAGACACATTTCCGATCCTAGACCAACGTTTCCTGGGCTCAAGTGAAACGCGAAGACGCTAAAACACGCCGAGACGGGGGTGGTTTTGGCCGGTTTGTGTCTTTGGCGGAGGAAGGAGTAGGCCTCACCCGCAGCCCCGGGCTCGAGTGGAACGGTTTCCCGGCAAAGCGTGCAAGGGTTCGCGGAAAGCTGACTAAAAAAGCTCCGGTAACGTCTACGCCTTACAAATTGTAGTATTATTATTATTAGTTCTGTGTTATTCAGAACATAACACAGCAGTCGTGTTGTAGGGGTGTGAGGGTGTCCGTGCTGATTTGATCCTTTTGAAAGGAAGAAGAGAAGCGTTATCTCAGGCTTTCCTCGGACCAGATAGCTCAAATGCGTGTGGTGTGTGTGTGTGAAAGAGCAGGAGGTGTTCGGATCGGGGTCCGAACCGAGAGCTAGCGAGCTGTCCGGACACTCGGATCAGGGCTGGAAGAGAGAGGGAGAGGAGTCAGTCGGAAAGACAGATCGGGGCTGCAGCAGAGGAGAAGGGTTTGTAGAAGTAAGACAGATGGGTTTGAATGCGAGGAGTCATTAATCAGCATCTCCACTTGCACACCTAGTCTGTTTCCATGGTGATGGGAAGGGCGGTGCCGTCACGCTTCGATGCCTGATGACAACCAAGTTTGCCCGGCTTCTTCAATCCCTATTGGCCAGCGATGGAGCTGAGGAGGACGCTGATTGGCCGGCACCCCCGCCACTCATCCCTGCCGTCTTTCAGGACGGTGGGTGTGGCCGGGGCATTTCCCTGGCAGCACACCATTCCTCAGAGGTTACCGTGGGCAACAAGCACTGGATTGACAGAGTTCACGGCCAATGAGAGGTGAGAGTGACAAAGAAGCCTGAATTCATGTGCTTTTGTATAGCGCTTCACATAGAGGGGGGGCAGAACAGTAACCCACCTGGGAGACACACAGTAGCCATTCTACACCAGTAAGCCCACCTGGGAGACACTCAGTAATCATTCTGAACCCACAACCCCACCTGGGAGACACACAGCGATCATTCAGCACCAGTA